TGAAAGATCTTGGAGAAGTAGATACCATCCTTGGGATAAAGATCAAAAGATCAACATCTCAAATCTCTCTATGTCAGTTTCATTACATAGAGAAGATACTGACAAAGTTTCAACATTTGAATATAAAGGAGTTTAACACTCCGTTTGATTCAAGTGTGAAACTCAATAAAAATACTGGCAGAACAGTGGCTCAACTAGAATATGCTAGTGCAATAGGATGCATGATGTATGCAATGCATTGCACTAGACCGGATATTGCTTTTGTTGTGAGTAGACTGAGTCAATATACGAGCAATCCGGGTTCAGATAACTGGAAAACAATTGGTAGAGTATTGGGCTACTTGAAAAGAACCCAAGAACTAGAGTTGGCATACTATACGCATCCAGGAATCTTGGAGGGATATTCTGACGCCAGTTGGATAGATCACTCAAGTCATTCTAAATCCACAAGTGGGTGGATTTATACTCTTGCTGGAGAAGCGATTTCTTGGGCGAGCAAGAAACAAACGTGTATCGCCCATTCGACTATGGAAGCCGAATTTATTGCCCTAGCAGCAGCGGGCAAAGAGGCTGAATGGATTAGAGATTTGTTGACAGATATCCATTTATGGCCTCGACCGACTCCCTCTATTCCCATGTATTGTGACAGTGAGGCCACACTGTCCAAAGTATACAATGCTGTATATAATGGGAAGTCGCGACACATAGGTCTCCGACACAACTACGTGAGACAACTAATTGATGCTGGTACTATAAGTATTGTGTTTGTCAAGTCTTGTGGAAACTTGGCAGATCCACTAACCAAGCCTCTGACGAGAGACTTGGTAGGGTCAACCACCAGAGACATGGGTCTGAAACCACATAGAATCAGTCAGTGATGGAAACCCAACTTGGATATAGTACTCCTATTTACCAAGTTTAAAGGGTAACAACAAGTCACTTGATTGATAGAAGGTACTATCAAACGATAGATCCATGTAAGGTGAAAGATAATACGGCGTTGTCGAGAACAAGGATGAGTTAATCTCTTAACAAAGTTTAGAGGCATCTTAACAACGAAGATGTTATAGAACTTTGCCTATATGACTTAGAGGTGGTGCCGCCTCATAAGAAGAGTAGTGTTTTCTCTTTGAGTAAGTCATGAAACAGGGTTTAGCGCATGGCCATAATAGCGCTCAGTGAGAGAGCAAGGTGGATAGATGATGTGTGTAGGTAAGCAAAAGTGGTCGCAAGATTCAAGGTTTAAATCCTAAGGATACCATTGGATTGATCCCTTCTTGCATACTTACGTTAAACATGGTTTAATCTTAGTAACACCACTGTAACATTGTCTACCATGAATGTCAAGAAACTTTCCAACCTGGTGGGGGATTGTTGGAAATTTGTGGGTTGGAAGTTAACCTTCCATCCCACATTGGTAGAGAGTTTATTTGTAGAGAAGCTTATAAGGCATTCTCTATTAGTGGGCTTTGAACATGTTAGTGGACTCATGGTGGGGGTTTTGAGTGAAAGGCCCAACACACACGGGCGCGCGAGGCCGCGGACCCGAGATTCGCGAAGGTGGCACGAGGAGGCGCACTTTGCACTACGCACGCCGCATCGGAGCAGAAGGAGCCTCGCCCCGAGCTCCGGGTATCTTTTTACTAGAAATTTCGTCAGGAGGATTATCAGTTTATTAATTATTAATTTTAATTTGAATTAATCCGTTTTTATTTTTAATTTGAATTTAACTGATTTTTTGACTTGGTTTAGAGATAGAATTTTCGGTTGAGATTTATCCTCCCACTATCTCCGATTTTGGAGAGATTCGTGGGCCATAACTAGGGTTTCACCAGGTATAAATACTGGGTGAAGCCGTATCAATGATCACATACGAAAAACTACTTTTCCTTTGACGAAATTCTGCTCCCGTCTCCTATTTCTCTCTACCGGTTTTGCTACAAAAAACCTGCTCTATATTCTTTGTGATAGCTGTTCGCAAACGAATAGCCTACTGCATCAAATCCTGGGGCTTTGCGACTAGCAGACTCACAACTTCTAAAGAGTGGTCATATAAAACCTTTAAGGACAAGTTTTTTCCGTGCAGTTCTTCATCCGAATCGATATCATTTTTACCAGATTGGTTTTATAATTTTTGCATTGTATTTAAATTTTTTCGTTCACTAAGTGAACACTCTGCTTCTACCCCTTTCTTTCATTGAATCTATCGCGAATGATAGATTCAATCTGTGTGAATTGGCACGTATTGAGGTTTTGGTGAGTCTGAATTCAAAAGGTTTAACCTTTTTATTGTTATAATGTAATTAAATTATATAAAGATTAAATCTTTATTTGGTGTTCATTTTTCTTATTGGAATTATTATTTTCAACACTATCTTGGTTGCAAGTAACTCCTCAAAATTTTAGTTGGTTCAACAACCATTTCATTTCTCATGGTACATTCTACAACTCACAAATTGATAATCTTTGTTAGCTAGCTTGGATTACTAGTTCCTGTAACATTTCCTGACGTCATTTTTTTTGCATTTTCTCACTATAATTGTGAAGACGAGCCCATTTGACACTGAGTAAATATAAATGGTTTTACTGAGAAGCCTTGCAGTGAGCACTTGTATGTTTTTACCTTTCATTTGTACTATTTTTTGGTGCAAAAACATAGTTAAACTGAACTAGGTTTACTTTTGGTAGGGTTTCGTTGAGGCAAAAGTCCAAAGATGACAATCGTGAATTATTGGAATAGATGGTTCACACTACTCACAGGGTTAATATGATATCCCTTTTACTGTTGTGGTAACTTTTACTGGTCAAATTTGTGTTTTTAAAATCAAGAATTGTAAGGGTATGGGACAATGGCTTAATGATGATGCATAAGTTTAACATCCTTCCTTGTTTCTACAAGTTGTTACTTCACGACATTGTCTTATGTGATAGAGCTTTTGTGCGTGCTCAACCTACAAAAGAATAGAGGATGGACAACCTGTTTAAGAACGTTTCAGATATTGAAGATGAAGGCACAATAAGCTAGTATTTCTCTTTTGTTTTCAAAAAGTTTTGCAATTCACAAGTTCCGACACTTTTTTAGGTTTTAAATTGATGCCATATTACTTTATTTTTAAGGAAAAAATCTTTACGACAAAGACAAAAGTAATTGGTGTTAAAACTGTAGAAGAATACACGAAATGTTGTGTGGTTTTTAGGCAAGTTTATGTTGGCAGGAGGGTGACCAGTAGCACATATAGAACAAGCCGTGAGATGCAGTTAGAGATACGTTCACGCGAGACATACACTTATGGTTCAATGATTGCGGATTAATGCTTGATGTACAAATTTGTTGTTTTTTGTAACAGACTGTTACCATTTTTAACAAGTGGCTGACATTCGATTTGGTTTATGTCCAGTTGAATAACCAGTGATACTTGTTGATCTGTACTTATAGATAGGTGGATACTTATAGGGTAATTAGCTTTGTCATTTATTATGATAATTAAMTGTTGTTTTTGCTATTTGTAGAGACGTTATTGTGGTCAACGTTATTGTTTTTGACGAATGTTCTACATTTAGACCATCTATTTATCAATTCCATGAAATGCATGTCCACTTGGAAAGACGGTTTTCGTAGTTTTTAATCCTAAAATATATTCTTGTTTTTATGTTACATTTGATTTCCCAGCGTTCCAAACTCTTTTCTAGTAAAAGCATCCATTGCACGTTATGAAGAATATACACGTACATGGAGTTTCAATTTGGAGTTTTTTTTTCAAATCAAAAGAACCAAAAGTGCATCAATGCGGTCTTTACGTCGAAGTATCATGTTTGACTCATTTTAAACCATTGCAAAGCTGAAAAAGAGCTGGAAATCAAATTCAGATACTACTTTTCCAGCTGTATCATCGTAGGTGGTATCATCAATTGCATTCGAGAAAAACTAGGAACCAAGTTAGCATTTCTCCCCTCTAAACATGAGGAGTATATGGTGATTCATATATTTTTGTATTAGTTTGACCGATTCAAATTTCATATCTCATACGTAAAACAAATAATCTTACTGATTCAAATTTCAGACTTCAACACCACCTCTTGTAAATCAGAAATAAAATCAAACTTCACACTTCTGCCCTTCTTAAAAAAAAACACCACCTTAGTTATAATCGTACCAATTAGTCTTGTACCATACGTTATCTAAGGTTACACCGCTACATATGGCTGTAAACGAATTGAACGAACACGAACAAAGACTTGTTTATGTTCGTTCGTTTAACTTAACCGAACAAACGAACAAACACGAACGGTAAACGAACGAAAATCTTTGTGTTCGTGTTCGTTCGTTTAGAAATCATGTGTGTTCGTGTTCGTTTATGTTCGTTCTTAACATGCTAAACGAACATAAACGAACAGACACAAACGAACGAGCTAAATGAACATAAACGAACAGACACAAACGAACGAGTTAAACGAACATAAACGAACATGTTTAAATGACAATAAACGGATATGCCTAAACGAACATAACAAACGAACACCACCACTTGTCATTCAATTAACTAGTACATAAAAATTATCTGGAGGCTAGGGTTTTAGGAAAAAAGTGAAAAAGAAAAAATTTTAAACAAGACAAAATGATGATAAGATTTAAATTTAAATAAAATCTAAAAAATTAAAACTTAAATAAATATTATTTGAATTCAAACTAAATAAATAAAAGATTATATATTAAATTTAATACATAAACGTATGAATATAAACGAAAATTCATGAACATAAATAAACAAACGAGACTTTTGTTCATATTTATTCGTTTAACTAAAAAAAATTATTCAGGCAACAAACGTCATTACCAAACTATTCACAAACGGTTCAATGAACGTGTGGTTGTTTTCGGGCTATCGCTACCATCGAACAAATTTACTTCACCATACCAGGACCGGTTCGTAGGCCCATTCGCGTGCTTCATCTCCTTCCCCCGTTTCCTTTTGTATTTCTGACCATAATCAAATTTCGTTTTGCACGAAAATGTTCTTGTATTTCGTACTAAATTCTTCATAACCCTAGCTGATAACGGCATGCTCATTACTGTTACCATCAGTACTTCCATCAGGAAACAACTAAGTTCAAAAGGGTTCTCCCAAATTCGATATTTTTCTATTATCAGACCTGAAAAGGCACCTGAAAACAAGCAGGAGCCGGAGATCGAACGACCAATTCATGAAGACGTTTTCAAATCAGGTCAGAAATTGGGTTCATTTAAAGTGGGTGACCCCACATTTTACTCTCTCATTGAAAACTTCTCGAAAACAGGAGATTTGATATCGTTGGCGAAGGTTTTTAATCAGATGAAGCGTGAAAGAAGAGTGTTCATAGAGAGGAATTTTATATTAGTATTTAAAGCCTATGGGAAAGCAAAGAAAGCTGAAAATGCTTTAGACTTGTTTGATAAAATGTGGGTCGAATACCAATGCAGACCAAGTGTTCGATCATTTAACTCAGTGATTAATGTAGCCATACAAGAGGGTTTGTTTAGTAGGGCTCTGGAGTTCTATTCTTCTGTTGTAATTCGGGACAAGAGGGTTTTACCGAATGTGTTAACATACAATCTGATTCTTAAAGTATTGTGTAGATTAAGACTGATTGATAGGGCTATAGAGACGTTTAGGGAGATGCCTGTTAGGAAATGCACACCAGACGTGTTTACTTATTGCACTTTAATGGACGGGTTGTGTAAGGAAGATAGGATCGATGAGGCAGTTTGTCTCTTGGATGAGATGCAAGTTGAGGGTTGCTTCCCAACTGCTGTGACCTTTAATGTGTTGATTAATGGGTTGTGCAAGAAGGGTGACTTGGCACGGGCAGCAAATGTTGTGGAGAATATGTTTCTGAAAGGATGCGTGCCAAATGAAGCAACCTATAACACTCTTATACATGGTCTCTGCCTAAAAGGAAAACTGGAGAAGGCGGTTAGTCTTTTGGATAGAATGGTTCGGAATAAATGTATTCCCAATGATGTTACATATGGTACAATCATCAATGGGTTAGTGAAGCAGGGAAGGGCTGTTGATGGTGCACACATGTTGGTCTCAATGGAGGAAAGAGGACTTAAAGCAAATCAGTATGTTTATTCGACGCTTATAAGTGGGTTGTTCAAAGAGGGGAAACCCAAAGAGGCATTGAACATGTGGAAGGAGATGATAAGTAAAGGGTGCAAACCCAATACTGTACTCTATGGCACTCTTATAGATGGTTTATGCGGAGAAATGAAACCAGATGAAGCTAAGGATGTTCTGCTTGAGATGGATAAAGTGGGTTGTAAGCCCAACGCTTTCATATATAGCTCCCTGATGAAGGGGTTTTTCAACATGGGTAACAGCGATAAAGCTCTTTCCCTTTGGAAAGAGGTTGCAAGTAATGATTGTGTGCAAAATGAGGTTTGCTACAGCGTACTCATTCATGGCCTATGCAGTGATGGCAAGTTGGAGGAGGCTCGAATGTTTTGGGAGGAAATGTTGTTAAATGGGTATAGACCTGATGTTGTTGCTTACAGTTCACTGATCCATGGCCTATGCAGCGATGGGTTTGTTGAAGAAGGTTTAAAACTTTTCAACGAGATGCTGTGTGCAGGGTCTGGCTCTCAACCTGATATAATCACTTACAATATACTTTCTAATGCTTTGTGCAAGCATGGTCGTATTTCGCATGCTATTGATCTGCTAAACAACATGCTTGATCGAGGCTGCGATCCAGACTTGGTTACATGTAACATCTTTTTAAAAACATTAAAAGAACATACAAATGGCTCGCAAGATGGGAGTGAGTTTCTGGAAGAACTTGTGCTTCGGCTTCACAAGCGAAGGCAGGTTGCAGGAGCTTCCAAAATCATTGAAGTGATGCTTCAAAAATATCTTACACCCAAAACATCCACCTGGGAAATTGTTATTCAAGAACTTTGTAAACCCAAGAAGGTTCGAGCTGCTATTGACAGATGCTGGAATAATCTATATGTCCAATGACAGAGGTGACAAGTATTTCTTTTTCTGCTCTCTATCTTATATTATACATCAATACTGAATTTATCTTTCATTGTTGTAAAATATAGGTCGAAAACTGCAATACAAGCCATTTACATGTCTCGATGCCTATTTAATTCTGTTGGAAGATCTCATATAAATCTTTACAAGCCATATGATATCTTGCATCTTCTGGACAGTTGAATATCAGCATTCCCACATTTTCTAACCGTTTTTGGAACTTCAATCCTTTCTTTCCCCTTGTCTTTGTCTCGTCTTTTGGGCTAATAAATCCTTGTTATTTATCTGCCTACCAAGCTTTGTATTACATTCGACTTAAATCTTTACTTCTTTTATTACAGTTTCTAATTTGCCGGTTGTCTAACCTCTTTAGTTATCTCTCGTGGCTCATATCAGTTTTGATCTATGTGACGCTAGCAGATAGCATAGTTTCAGTTAACTAACACCAAAAATTGAGGTTACAACTAAAGCTGGCATTGAACAAGCATAAGGTTAGTTAGCGCTTTGATTCCTTTGGAGATCCCCACTATTCGGCTATGAGTTATTGGTTGTTACTAGAAACCTAGCAAATTGTGATGGTAGCTATTGGGATAATAATGCAAGACAATTGCGAAAGTGAAATCCCTATAATATGCTTTGAGATCCCCAACACACATGTATGCTGCTAGTTAGTCTATTTTTTAGGATTACCTAGAGTGATATACTCATAAGAACAATTGTAATTACCGATGCATATCAAGCATAAAGTAGCAATTGACAAGGGTCCTTAGTGTGTTTGGTATGAGGACCATGGTTGAGGGGATGGACGGGAAGGGCGAGAGTGATTTAGGCGGGTGAAAGAATTGTGGAAGGTTTTAGGGTTTTAATTTGAAATGAGTAGCTTAGTAATTTACCAATATCATCTCATTTTCCTAATTTTTGATCCACCTATATTGGTGGGACAAAAAATGCATTTTTGCCCCACTCAGTTTTGTCTTGTCCTAGTCTAATGTCGCAACAAACGTAACATAACAACTTTCACCCACGTTATGTCCCCCGTGCTGCCCTTGAAAGTTAGACCTTATAACTTGAGCTTTGCATCCAAGTACTATGTAATTTTCATCTTTTGATTTCCCCAGAAGTCGTCATTGATATCTGGTCAGGTGATTGAGCAGTAAAAATTAAAATAGCCAATTTCCATTTCAAATTGCAATCCACGGCAAGTGTGGTTGTTGAGAGTTATAACCTATAAATTGTTAAAAGTATTAGCAATATGTATGAATTATTTTAGAAGACAAACTGAATTATTAAGCCAACCATAAGCTAGCTTATTTTTTGAGATTATCGAAAAAACTCGTCAGGTAAATCATTAGCCAACTTATAAGCTCTTGGGGATTTTCCAATTATACTCCTTATAGGTTAGAAGTAAGTAATTTTTCAACACGTTATTTTATATCTAGTTTATCAGCTAGTTCCCTTTATACCAAAAATGACTATTTTATCAACTAGTTCTATCAACCAATATCTAGTGTTTCATCTAAGAGTTAGCTTATAAGTTAGTTTGCAAAACATAGCTTAAAACTTTTGTAGGGAGAATAAATAGTTCAACTGATTAGTGGTTTAGTTTCTTAGTTGGTCTTATTTGGATTTGCATCCATCTTTGAATTAAACCTGGATCATACATGAACCTTAGTTTCTTGCAAAATCCAATCTTGCCAATAAGAGTTTAAGGGAGCGTTTGGATCACTGAATGAAATTTGGTGGAATTGGAATCCATTTTGAAGGAATTTGACTTTGAAGGAACTGGTGAATGGAATTTGACCACGTGTTTGGATGGTAGGAATTGGAATTGAATCTTTCAAAAAAATTGGAATCTCCGTTATGGTGATATTGGTGGTCGGAGGTGGGGGTGGCAGTTGTGAGGACGACAGATACTGTCTAGTCCTTTTTGTGAATTATTTTATCTCTTACAAAATTATTTTTTAGAGGTCATCATATTCCTCCTTGATCTTCATTGATTTCATCCTACTCTCTTCTAGCTTAGTCTTTTTTAAACTAGAGATATCTAGTTCCTTTTGCTCCTTGCTTGTCTCTTTGGACATGGCTCATCTTGTCTTTTATAACTTCTAACCATATTAACCAACTTTTGAATACTATGACTTCCCTCCACAATTTGAATAGCAGGTAAGCTTGCATGAAACTTATAGCTATCTTATTTACGGAATAGAGTTTCAAATTCTTGGTTTCTTATCAATATATATGAGCTTATTGTGAGAGTAAAACTTCAGCATGCTTTGGCATTGTTAAAGAAGTTCAATGTCTGTTGCCTAAAAGGAAAGGAAAAAAAGAAGCTTGGAGGAAGGAATTGAAGGAGATGGTAAAACAGAAAGTGAACCTGACGCTATTCTTTTATTAAGTGAGCCTGTCTTACTCTCTTATATGGTCAATACCTAGGTAATCTTTTTCCAAGAAGGATTTTGGAGATTAATAAAGACAAAATGTTACATGTATACGATTTTGTAGCCATTTTCTGATTTTATTAGTCATCGAATGTTTGGGCCTCTGTTTGATCTTTATTCATGTATTTGTAGGCTTGGAACATGTTATTTTCAAAATGATGTTACCACTTGCTAAGGTAAAGCTGTTCAATATATGCAGGTCATTGGTGGGTCAATGTGGTTTTCTGAGTCTCTTTTTCTTGTGCAAAGCTGGGCTAAAGATGAAAGTACTCTAAAGGTATCATCACACTAATTTAGTTCACTTATTCTATCTAGTATGTTTATGTCATGCCTCTTTCCATCACTCACACACAACTATGTTTTTTAAGTTGTGTCTTCTTTTGTCATAACTTTTTTTCTTGGACATGCTAAATTGCTAAGTGTGTTTTGACTTTTTGACTTTGTATACCGCAGTTAGCTCTTCAAAGCTTAAAACACTACCCTCAGCCCTTTTGGTTGGCTCTTTTTGTCGAGGGGACTCTATTTACTAAAGCAAAGCTTTTAGCAGCTCAAGATAGCATCGTCAATGGGGTTGCTTGTTCCTAGAAATGTTCTAATTCCACGAACAAAGGTAAGACATGATTGGATCTACCAGCAAATATCAACATGATTAGCTAAGGATCTCTTTATGATTTCCTTTTATGGGTCTCTACCTGCTCATTTGAATCGTTTGCATGGTGCATTTAAGGTCCATGGGGTGGAAATAATTGCTTTTGATTAATTATTCCTTAGTGTTGTCATATCTAACTTTATGGCCAACAAAATCATTGGACGGATATATGTGACAACCTATCTCCCTCTCGGTGGGAGGATAGAAAGCAAGATATGCTTCTCAGACCATTATTTCTGCCACTTTTATGTAACTAGTGTTTGAAGATGAGAAGCTTGAAAAGCTTATGGAGATGAACTTTTGATGGATGGGTGTTAGATGATAATCAATTTAGTAGAAATATCCAATGATCCAGGCACACCAGTCTAGACATGTTATATAGCATTTAGTGTTAAACTTTATGCTTTACACCCTTTGGTTAATACTAATCACAAATTACTGGATGCTACAACTTTCTCCCTTAAGTTAGATATCTCATGCACAACTTGGATAACGAGAACAGTTAAGAGTTTGCGGTGTGTCTTGTATATTTCGTTACTGCCTGCTAGCGAGTTCAATGTCATAGTTTTTCCTTGAGAAAGTGTGTCCTTCTTGATTAATTTTTAGTTACAGATTACATACACATTGCAACAATATCTACACACGAAAGTAACTCTTCTAGTTTGCAAAGGAAATAAACCCTTCTTATCTCATGATACTGCTATATGATACTAGGTTACATTTTCAAGAAGCCAACAAAGGAAAAGATACACTATGCCCACTTTTCTTGTTATGAGACTTGGATACTCCATGCTTTCCACTCATATTTAATCATTAATCATTAGCTGCAAGCCGGTTTACTTTTTGACAAAAATAATCATTTTTCTCGGACTTCATTACTCCTGCATTTTACGTTTTTTTTTTCAGTTCTATTTTCGTATTTAGTTTCCCTTTTCCTTTTTCTTTTTAATTTAATTATAATATTGTTTTTTGTTTTCTTTTTTTTTTTGGTTTGGTATGGGTTTATTTTTTGGGTGAATCATTCAAAGCTTCTTTCATCGTAATGTTGTAAATTTCATATCTTGATATTTAAGAGTATATTGAACTTTTTTTATAAAAACAATGTTATGCTTACACACCAATTGCAAAATAATCCTTCTAATGCTACATATACCAAAATTTCAAAATTCTAGCTTCACATTGTAATGCAGTCTATTGGTTAGCTTCATATTGTTTTTAAATTATAGGGTGATATGGTTATCTAACATTTACATTATCAAACGATACGAAAATAGTTTAGAGGGTTAATATAGCAAGTTTCTTTTCTTGTTATTAAAGATGTTTCTTATAGATAACTTACCAAATAGTAATTCTCATTCAGCACCAATTCCACATGGAACTCTATCATGCATCAGATTTTCAGTTTTATGAAACACCACCTAGACGTGGCTTATGGTTCTCAAATGCAATCGAATACTTCCTGCCTGTTATACTGCTTTTACATAGTTTAATTTACTTAATATCATCATTAATATGTTGCCAGGGGTTTGTTACATCAGTGAGTCAGATGAAATCATTTGTTCCTGCAATTATTGATATGACTGTTTCTATTCCTAAAGATTCAACTCCACCAACAATGCTGTGGCTCTTTAAAGGCCAGTCTTCTGTGGTAAGCCTTCTTGATCATTAAGTTCTGGCTATGCAAAGGTGAAGTGCCCATTTGAGAGCATTTTAACTGTATTTCTGTTCTCTATAATTTGATACTCAGAAGTGCTTTATTATATATCTTCCATTTTCCTTTACTCATCATTTACCCTTTCTGGTGCCAGATAAACTCTCATGTATCTTTGTAAATTGCACAAATGTCATGGTCAGGTTCTATTGCCATTGTTTACATCATGGGTAGAATATTTAGCTGTTCTATTTGTCTACTTTTTCTTTTTAATAGACAGAGAGGGAAAAAGGCAATATTTATGTTCCATGCGGCAGATCAGATTGCTGTAACACTTAAATTTGCTGAAAACATGCCTATCTGAACTATAGAGGATCGTACTTTATCGGTAACCAGCCAAAGTGAAAATGGAATCAGCCAGTTTTATCACAGTTTGAAAAAACTTTCCACACGGATTAAATATAATTGTTAGATCCAGTCGTTAGATAAGGGATAATGTGCAGAAACTATTGATAGTATTCTGTAATTAGGATGAGATAGTCTTTTGGAAACTAGTGATTTTGTCAATTCTAATTTTTGTGCTGGTATGATCTGTATATTAATGATGATCTGCTTATAAACTGATGAATGTGATGAATAAAGGGATTTTTTTGTGCAGATTCATGTCAAAGTCACACGCCATTCAATGAAGGATGTACCAGAATCAGATGAAGCTGTTGCACAATGGTGTAAAGATAAATTTATCGTCAAGGTGCGGTGCATGCCTTTTGAGTCTCTTCAATTTTCTTTATTTATATATCTTCACAATTGGCTATTATTTTTCCTTTTCTTGTTTTTGTACTTGTTCCTGGTTGAAGCTTAATTGATTGTTTCTATATGTTTCTCTTGCTGTCTTAATCCACAGGATGATGTATTAGACCAACATAAAATAGCAGATGCCTTTCCTGATTCAGAACTCATTGACATCGGCCGACCATTGAAGTCTCTAGTGGTGAGAACATAGTTATAATAAACTTAGGCCTATGTTTGGCAAACTGGCTGATAAGCCAGCTGTTAGCTGATACTTCCTCTGGCCCAAAATAAGTGTGCACATTAGAAATGGCACACTGTTTTAGACATACATTATAATTACACTTTTTAGTTAACCAAATGGCAATTTTACCTTCGATTAATTTCTCTATAAAATGTTTGTGAACTAATCAAGGGTAGATTTCAACATTTAGTTATCTATTTTTTAAACTAAACACTTATTTTCTGACAAACATAATTAGGAATGTAGACACCTATTTTGGGACAGAGGGAGTGATAAGCTAGCTGATAAACTAGTCATGTGTAGTAAACTAGCTCATAATGTAGATGACAATGTAAAATTACCTAAAAGGACATGATGAATTGGAAAAATATACATAAGTGGGAAAAAGTGGAAAAAAACTCGGGAGCTTATTGAACGCTATTAGAAGTAGCTTTTCAAGAGCTAACTTATAAGCCAACTGAACTAGGATTTTTCAAAAATCTCAAAAAATTAGCTAAACGTATGGTTGCCAAACCCATCTTTTGGGGTGAGGCCATGATAGCAACTATGTTCTCTCACATGTTTGCAAATACAATAGGTGCTCGTTTCTTGGGTATGCCTGCTTGTTTTCGGGTCCTTCAAATTCTTGCAGTGGTCTGATCTTCTATCTTCATGGAAGGGCCTCACATTCACTGCAGTTGGGCTGGCAATTGTTACCATTTTAATGCATATCTTGATTCAATTCTCCCAATTGGAGCATTCGACACCTACAAAGGTGTCCCCTGTGTCGTCTAGCAACGGTACTGTACTAGCAACGGTACTGTACTAGAAAAGAATCCGCAAGTACAACATCTTCTTGAATGGATTGACCAAATCGCCATTCCTCTTCATTTATGAACAGATGTGTGTAGTAAAGAGCAGAATGAATATAAATCTATCTTGTTAACATTTTCATCAGCTAGGTTCAGTTTATGGTAGCGGTTTCAGTTTTATGGTGTCTATTTGACACTCCCAGTTTCAGAGATTTCCGACAATGATGTTGATGGTTGCGTTGAGTAAAGGTTGTGGCGGCTTTGATTTTTCCAGTTCTGCAATTGTTGGTTCGAACCATGGTGGTTTTGTTGCTCACGACAGAGGTGGTAGTGATGGTGGGATGGTGTGGTTCGGTTGTTTCAGTATTGTATTAGTGTTACATTATAAACGTAACGATTAATAGTCGTCTTGTTCCCTTCAATGATTGGTCCAAGGCCTTCTTATTCATTTTAAACTATAAAATATCGTATTAAAAATTCAAATACTTGTGGATAAAACAAAAACTAATCCTAGACCAGGTTGTCAGAAAAATCCTTAATAGTTTTGTAGGACTCGAACCCGTTACAGAATCCTAAAAATTGATTATTAGTTGGTAATGGATGAATATATAAACTTAATAAATGAATGCTTTTGAAACAACAATGAAACATAGTTTAGAAAAGAAAAAGGGTAAACCCCCATACCAGTTTTTAAAGCTTATTTGGTAGTAGCATTGACTTTATAGAATCAGACGATCCTGTTCAGAAACAGACAAGTTATAAAAATTAAAAACGACGCCGTTGCCGGGGATCGAACCCGGGTCACCCGCGTGACAGGCGGGAATACTTACCACTATACTACAACGACTTTGTTGACTTGCTTTTGCAGTTTTATTAATTGAATTTGTAATATGTGAAAAAATAGAACGACATTGTTGGTGTTTTCACGCCATTGTCAATTAATGAACCAAATATAGAATTTGTGAAACACGGTATTTTTTATTATTATTGTACCGTCGTTTACTTTTATGCATTTACTTTATGTTCGTTACATTTCATTGTAATTTATTTCCGTCATGAGTAGCTAAATCTTTTAGTTTGGGTGTGAGACAAATGATGAGATTTTAAACCGAAGAAAAAAGTAGACATCGTTTCGTGATGATGTTCCACTACTTCATTTCAAATTTTACAAAATACAAGACACTTATTGACAAATTGATCACTTTGAAAAGTGTTAAAATGTTGTGGTCTTAGAAATAAGCCACTTGAATGCACGTCAATTTGAATTATATAGAAAATAGATTTGAAAGAGTTGCTAACAAAGATATCTGTTATCTATGTTTCTCAATTTGATTAACTCTCGACAGGTTGGTCATTTGGCAACGTGTTAAAGTGTAATGGACTTAGAAATGAACCACTTGAAACACATCAACTTGGATGATACGAGAATCGACTCTTACACCCATGCTTCTTTCTTTATATTATGTGATTTCCAGTAGTATTAATTCAACCACAAAAGATTTCTTGAAATTCGTCGTCTGAAATCATTTCTTTCATTGAACTTTTACTAAGCTTTTACTCCAATCTCTGTGGACCATAATCAAAATCTTTACCACATTATTACTTGAAGAACGATATTGAGTCATATTGTATACTTGCTTTTGGTTCCAATTATCACATGTCTGAAGGTATGTAAAAAGCACTATCACATACCATAATTCCTTAGACCGTGACCTGTTAAAATATCTGATAGCATCTGAAATTAAGGGTTTATAAGATTTTACTCATCTTTATATGGATAAATTATGATACTAATAAAGGAAAAAACAGTAATAATCAATTCTGATACCAAATGCAGATCTTCAATAGGAACGATGGTACTGGTAATTAAATAAACAATGGATGTCAAGTATTAAGCCAATGTGAAAACATAAACGAGATAAACATCATATATGTAAGAATTTAGGAACAGTGACGAGGGTATGTTTAGAATGTTCTTGAATATGGACTACATTAATAATAGAAGGTGAACGATTAAGATTGGAAGAAGAAGAATTAACAATACGAAAAAAGATAAGTTGAAGATCTGAATATTTTGAACATTGGGACGTTTCTTATTGGATATCTTAGACATACAACGTAAAGTACCCTAATTTTTTCGATGCCTTGCTTGAGGATGCAAACCTCTTTAAATCGGCATGAGGTTGACATGAACTGTTCGTGTCTTTTAACAGATGTCCATTGCTTGAATAATTGGTCATATAGTGATGATTGCTCATGATTCATCTTTTCTTGTAGATCTTGAACATGTTCTGGCAATGAATGGTAATTATCTTATCTTTGGAGAATCTTTTTAGTAGTTCTAACGCTTTTACAGGAACGATTTTTCTCAACCTTTTTGGTGGTTCTCATTTGATCACTGTGATATCTCTCTCTCTCTCTCTCTATACTAGTCCATCATGTGTTATTTCATTTGATTTTTTTCTATCTATAGCTAGAATTTAATATAGAGATTAACATATAATTGTTTCACATGTACTCATTTCACAATGTGATCTTTTTGGCGTATTTGTGAAACACACTTTTAGCTTTGCCTTAGACTCTATTGGAACAAAGCAAAAAAAAAAAAAAATATATATATATATATATATATATAAAGTTTTAACATTGTGAACCGAATACATATGAAGCAAACATTGTGAAACAAATATATGTTAATCTATAAATTAAATATTGTACTTAGATGGGAAAAAAAATCATGTGAAACATAACCTTAAGATAGAAGTTCTCACGGATCTCATAAAATTTAAAGTTATCGCACGCACAAAACACAGAGAGAGAGAGAGAGAGAGAGAGAGAGAGAGAGAGAGAGAGAGAGAGAGTTACAATCAAATACAAACCATGGAAAAATTACAAACTATACAAACCAATCTCAACCGTCAATCTAGTCTAACGAATATCTTATTTCATAAATATATCAATTGTTCCATAATATAAAGTGTTCCTCATAGTTAATAAACTCTAACCATCTTTTATAAATATTCAAATCATAATAAATAAACAATCATTTACATAAATATTAATTACAGGTTTGTAACATTCACATTAATTTACCAAAGGGCCTTTGGCCTAGCGGTACCGTAGCCCTTGGCCTTTTAAAAGGTCAGTGGTTCAAACCTCACCATAGGTGAGGAGGGTGTGTAAGTTTATTTGTTGCATTTGCCGTATATAAATATTATATACTTAAAAGAAAATTCACATTAATTTACCGTCTATACATATATTCCCAAAATAGTAGTTAGATAAAGGGCAAAATGCATAAAATAGCAATCTACTTTCATAAATTTCTTTATTATAGCATTGTACTTTCAGTTTTTCTTATTACAGCAATGTACTTTCAAATTATTTTTTATTAGGACATTGTACTTTGAAAAATTTACCCATTATAGCATTGGGTAACCTTTTGATTTAAATTTACCCATTATACTAGGTTTCCATGCCACCTCATTGTCCACGTAGGCTGTCCACATGTACTATAGTGATGTCACTTTCTTACTACATCATTATACTTTCAAAATTATTTTATTATAACATCTACTATTTCTTATTAAACACTGTATTTTTAATTTTAATATTTAGATATTTTACATGTTTTTTTAATAAATGTATTAAATGAATTAAAAAATTCTAAATTATTTATTAATATACCAATATCAATAAAACTAGTAGAACACAACTTATCTCGCTAATATTTTTAAAAAAATATGTGTTTTTTGAAAAAAAAGGAAAATAAGAATTGTTCTTTTTTTACCAAAAAATATTATTTTTACTTGACGAAAATATTATATTTGCTTAAAAACTTTTTACTTGACGTATAAATATATTAAATTAATTAGATTTTTTTGAAGTATTTACTAATATAACAATATTAAAAAATTATAGATAACAATTTATTTCGTTAATATTTTAAAGAGAACTTTAAAAGATATGTATTTATTTGAACAACATAAAATAGGAAAAATTGTTTTTTTACAAATAAAATATATCTCGAAAATAATGTTGCATATTTATTTAATAAATATTTTACTCTAAGAATATTTAATTTAAATGCAACCTAATAAGAAAAAGTAAAAAAAAATTAAATGTTTTTTTAGATAATAGCAATGAAAAATGAAAATCACTAATAATAATTTGAAATATGTTTTTATTTTAATTTTAGTTAAGTCATCAAAATGATGTGTCATCCACATCACCTCATTAAAGCCACACAAGCAAAAAAGTCAAAGGGTTAACCGGTTTAAAAGGTAACAAGTTACCCATTGCTATTATTGGTAGATTTTTTAAAGTACAATGCCTTAATAAAAAATAATTTGAAAGTACATTGCTGTAATAAAGAAAAACAAAAGTAGAATG